CCCCTTGGGTGCTGTGGGGACTCCCATGGGTGCCACATCCCAGTGCCCCATCCCAGTGTCACATCCCGGTGCCCCCTCCTGGTTTCCTGCCCCAGTTTCCCATCCCGGTGCCCATCCCAGTGCCACATTCCATATCCCGGTTTCCCATCCCAGTGCCCCATCCGGGTGTCTCATCCTGGTGCCTGGTGCCCCATCCCAGTGCCCCATCTCAGTGTCCCAACCCAGTGCCACATCCCAGTATCCCATCCCAGTGCCCCCTTCTGGTTTCCCATCCCAGTTTCCCATCCTGGTTTCCCCTCCTGGTTTCCCATCCCATATCTTGGTTTCTGCTCCCAGTTTCCCATCCCGGTTTCCCATCCCAGTGTCCCGTCTTGTTTTCCCCACCCGGGTTTCCCATCCCAGTTTCCCATCCCATATCTTGGTTTCCCATCCCAGTGTCCCATCCCGGTTTCCCGGTTTCCGCTCCCGGTTTCCCCTGCGGTTCCTCACCCGCTGCAGTTCCCGGCGGTGTTCCCGGGCCCCTCCTGCAGCTCCAGGTTGGTGGCCACGTTGGCGAACCCGTGGGGCACCTCGTCCCACTCGTCGAAGCGGACACCGGTACCCAGGGAGTAGGTGCCGGCGGCGCAGGGGCGGCATGACTGCGCCTGCATCTCCAGGAACTCGCCCGCCTTGCAGGAGAACGCTGCCCACGGAAACCGGGATCACAGGGAATGCCCCCCGGGCCCCCCCGGGGCTGCTTCAGCCTCACCATCCTCAGCTCCGCCTTCCCAGGTGCTCCCAGCAGGAGGATCCCCCATCCCACATAGGAACTCCCCCAATTTATCGGGTTTGGCACCTGACCCGCAGTGCTTCCTGATCCAGGCGGGATGGGACGCCCTGGCACGGAGACAGGACACCCCTGGGGTGTGTGGGAGGTTGGGATTCCCATCCTGCTCATCCCATTTGGTACCTCTGTGTGTGGGATTCCCACCCCTCTCATCCCATCCCAGTGCATGTGTGTTATTCCCATCCTTCTCATCCCATCCCAGGCACTCCATGTCTCTTATTCCCATCCCACCCAATCCCAGCATGATTCCCACCCATCCCATCCCAGTGTTGTTCCCATCCCACCCCTCCCACTCCATCCCAGGCACTCCATGTGTGTTATTCCCACCCCATCCCAGTGTGATTCCCTGCTCTCCCATCCCATACCAGGCACTCCATGTGTGTTATCCCCACCCCTCCCATCCCACGGGCGCTATCCCGGCCGTTCCCGGCACTCACCGCACTCGGTGCCGCGGACGGGGTCGGGCAGGCCGGTGCAGAGCCCGGGGCTGTGTGGCACTGCCACCCTCCAGCGCGACCCGGCGCTGTCACACGCCGTGTACTCGTAGTGGTACTCGGACTGCGGGGAGGCACAGGGACAGCACGGGGAGGAGCTGCCCCCGGGACCCCCGCGCTGCCCCCGCCAGGGCTGCACCCCCACCGTGCCCCCTGACAGGGGTGTGCCCCCCAGGAGAGGCTGTACCCCCACCTCGTGGTGGTGGGATTCTGGGGGTGCTCGGAGTGGGGGGTGCTCTGGGTGAGGGTGCCCAAGGTGGAGGGCGCTGGGGAATGGGGGTGCTCAATGTGGGGGTGCTCGTGTGGGGGACATTCGGGGGGTGCAGGATGCTGGGGACCGGGGGGGCTCAGGGTAGGGGTGCCCAGGGTGGGGATGCTCTGGGTGGAGGGTGCTGGGCAGTGGGGGGGCTCAGGGTGGGGTTCAGGGGGTGTGGGGGCCCCAGGGGGTGCCGGGGTGGGGGCTGCCTGTCGGGGGGGGGTCGCTGCAGGCAGGACTTCAGGCAGCACGACCCCTCCCCCTCCCAAGGACCTGCCCCCTCAGCCACCAAACCCCAGGGAGGGCCGGGGGGTCACCCTGGACCCCGCCCCCGACACCCCACGGGGCGACACAGCAACGGGGCCACCCTATGCCCCCTCCCCGGGTTGGGGGAGGGACACCCCGCCCTGTCACAGCCTTGCGCGGCCCGAGCCGGTGACACGCGAGGCTCCTCAAACACCAGGAGGTCCTGGGGGGCACCGGGGACAGCGGGGGCACCGTGACCCCCCATCCCACCGGTTGTGCCAGGCTGGGAGCGGCTCAAGGCCGGCGGGGAGGTGACACCGGGGAGGTGACACCGGGAACACACACGGCGTGGGCAGGACCAAGGACGGGGCTGGGGGAGGGGACGGGGTTTGGGGTACGGGGTGGGGGGAGACCCTCCACCCCCGGCACAGCTCTGGGGTGTCCAGGGGGTACGGGGGGGGAGGTGTGCAGGGTACAGGGGGGAGCCCACCACCCAGTTCTGGGGTGTTGGGGCACAGGGGTACAGGGGGCACAGGGGGGTGGGCACAGGGTACGGGGGGAGCCCCCCAGCCCCGTAGCAGCTCTGGGGTGTCCAAGGGTTACAGGGAGCAGAGGGAGTACAGGGGGGAGCCCCCCATCCCTCACAGCAGCTCTGGGGTGTCAGGCAGGGGTGGTACCGGGTACAGGGGGCACAGGGTACTGGGTACAAGGGGGAGCCCCTCACCCCCACATAGCTCTGGGGTGTCGGGGCACGGGGGGTACGGGGGGCACAAGGGGTGGGCACTGGGTGCAGGGGGAGCCCCCCACCCCCGCGCAGCCCCGGGCTGGCAGAGCGCGGTGGTTTGTGCTCCCGGCGGCTGCCGGAGCGTGGCAGGTTGATGGGAAAACAACCGCTTTGATGTTCCCGTCAGCTGGAAACGGCGGCGATGGGGGGAAGGAAAAGGGAGGGATGAGGGGGAAAGGGGGGATGGGAAGGGGGGAAAGGGGGGGTGGAAGAGAAAAGGGGGAATGAAACGTGTCTGCAGCACCCCCCGCCCGTATCCGGGCAGCCCTGAGACACCCCAACCCCGCACGGGGCACAGAGGAGGGTCCCCCCACCCTGGGGGTACCCAGGGGGTCACCCCAGCTCTGAGCAGCCCCGAACCACCCCATCGCTGTCGCTCCCGAGGGATCTCCTTGGGGAGAAGGGTTTTTTTCCCCTCTTCCTAAACTTTTCTTAGTTTTTTTTAAAATCTAAATAAATTGACCTAATTCAGCCGCGGGGCGGCCCGGGGGGCGAGGGGGGGGGCACCCCGAGGTGTCACTGTCACCCTGCTCTGGCCAGGGGGGTAGCGGGGCTGTCCCTAGGGAGGGACAGAGACAGGGGACACCCCCCGCCGCGGGGGGCCGGTCCCTGGCGGGGACAGGTGCCAGCCCCGCTCTATTGTTCCCAGCTCCGGATCGTGGAACACGGACAAAAAACTGGATCACGGCGCGAACAGCATTCCTGGCCCAGATTAAAAAGCAGCCGCAGGTCTGGGGGGGAAGGGGGGAAGAACAGCGGGGGGGGCACCCCAGGGAGGCGATCTGGGGGTTCACCCGCTGTCCCCGAGGCGGGCAGAGCCCAGCGAGTGACAGATCCCCCCCGGTTTTTCCTCGCAGGACACTTTGGCCACCGCGTGCCGGGCTTGGAATGGCACGTGGCCACTGGGAATGTCCCCCCCTCCCTCTCCTTGTCACCCCCCCCTCCCCAACAGCGCTCAGGGAGGGTTTGGGGCCACCCCAATCTGTGTGAGGGGTTGGGATTTGGCAGCAGCGATGGGGTGACACCACTTGGGGTCCCCCAAGGAGACCCTCGGAGTCTGGCAAGGCCCCCTCCCCAAGGGTTCGCCAGCCCGCCCCGCTACAGGGACCCCCATCCCCTCCCTGTCCCCCCCGCGCTCCAGGGCTCCGGTTCATGTCCCGGGGGGTGTGTGAGGAATTCGGGGGGGTCCCGGTTGTGCCCCCCCGCCATCCGCGGGGTCGGTACCTCCTTGCAGACGTGCAGCTGCTCCGCGGTGCGTCCCGGGGACGCGGTGACAGCGAGACACAGCAGCGCCAGCGGCGCCCACCGGGCTCCGGCTCCGGCCATAGCGGCGGCAACGGTGGCAACGGCGGCGGCTCCGCGGTCCGAGCGGCACCGGCACAGCCCCGCCCCCGCCAACCGCCCGCCCCCCGCGCACCGGCGGCACCTGCGCCGGGAACGGGAACGGCACCTGCGCGGGGAACGGGAACCGGAATGGGAACGGCACCTGCGCCCGCCCCGGGAACAGGAACGGGAACCTGCGCCCGCCCCGGGAACGGGAACAGCACCTGCGCCCGCCCCCCGCAACGGGAACGGGAATGGGAACGGGCATCACCCGCTGGGAACGGGATCAACAACCCCGGGAACGGCACCTGCGTCCGCCAACGGGAACAGGAACACAACCCCAGGGAACAGGAACGGAGCCACCGGGAACGGCACCGGGAATGTGAACGGAGCCCCGGGGAACCGGCACCGGGCACTGGGAATGGTACTGGGAACGGA